TAGGGCCGGTCACCGTCAGCAGGACTGTAAGGGCCGGTCACCGTCAGCAGGCCTGTTAGGGCCGGTCACCGTCAGCAGGCCTGTAAGGCCTGGACACTGTCAGCAGGCTCTTACAGGGTCTGCTGACCATGATCACTCGTGGCCACCGGCCCACTGCCTGATGGCTACTGCTTCTGTTGGTCCTTAACCTAGAGTCTCCCCCTTTCCATTCAATAGACATTAATTTGAAATAACTGGCATCACACGGTGACAGTGCTATGTCCTTTCTAATTCTAGAAGGAAAATAAAAAACAATTCCACTTCCATATTTTGTGGAGCAATTTCTGAACAGAATCCCAATTAAACAGGTAAATGTCACAATGGCTTTTGCTGGGTTTTCTGTTTTTTGGTTTTTCTTCATTTGCTCTAGTTTTAAAGTTCTATTTTTTCCTTCCTTGGAATCTGGGAAAATGCCAAAGAAACATTAAGAAAACTCTTGGCTTCAGGATCCAGCACCTGTCCTATAAAGAGCTGGAATCGCAGTTAAAACCCACAGCATGTCGGGGGAAGGCCCTGCAGTGCTGGCTCGGGCAGATCTCATGCTACATTGACAGAGTCAAGTCACAAAAGCCTCACCATGACAACAGAATCACTCGGGGAGACCTCAGGATCCAGTGGACAACAACAGAGCATGCCAGAGGGGACTCAAAGGTCAGGAGAGTGAGGGGTGACCTGGAACCCGGTCCAACTAGGAGCTTAGCAAGAACAGGAGGCCCCCAAGGCATGGGCTCCACTGAGGCTCAGCTTTGACACTTGGGCAAACGGCCAGGAGCCTCTGAACCTCAGCTTCCCCAAATCTGTGCTCTTGTGACCAAGGTGTCACCAGGATGAAACTGCATACCTCAGGGAGATTCTCAGCATGGAGCCTGGCCTGTTATACATACCTAAATTCACCAGGCCAAACCGATGAAGAGGCCACTGGAGTGGCCATGCTACTTTGAGTCCTCCTAACGACCTCCAAGGCCTATGTGGATTGCTCCTGTTGGCACAGGGGAGAGGGAGCCTGGGTGGTTTCTGGCCTTGGATCCCAAAGCTGGTAAATGACGGAGTCAGAATATATGACTTCAAAGCTCTGACCCCTCTTCCACCTCAACATGCCCTATACTGCACTGCGTTCGGCTGTCATAACTCCATAGCTCCTTTCAGTGACGAGAGGCCAAGGTCATCCTTCTAAATGGACAAAAAATGCCTGCCCTGAACATCCCTGGGAGCAGGCAGGACACATGCCAGACCTGTGCTGTACCTGCAGACAGAGGGGCTACAAAGCCACCACAGGGCTTTCCTAAGAAGTCCACTCCAGCCTTCCCTACCACAAACACCTAACATGCCCATAGCACGTGTGTCAGGACTGATGTGACATTGGCACGTTACTACAAACTGAATTCCAGGGTTTGACTGGGTCCCACCAGTTTTTCCTTCCTAAGATGTTATCCAGGGCACCGTCACCCACTGCAGCTGCTGTGGCCCCCAGTTCCCTTGGTTTTGTTATAGTCCTTGGGCCTTTGTTCTCCATGAAAATGTTTTTTTTTTTTAACTTTAAAAAAAAATTTATTATTTTTATTTTATGTGTATGCCTGCATTGCCTACATGTAGGTAAGTGCACCCATGTCATGCAATGCCCGCGGAGGTCAGAAGAGGCTGTTGGATCCCCTGGGACTGGAGTTATGGACAGTTGTTAGCTGCCATGTGGGTTCTGGGATTCAAACCCAGGTCTTCTGCCAGAATAGTCAGTGTTCTTAACCACTGAACCATCTCTCTTGCTGGTGGGTGACAAGCCCTTGCTGGCTGTCGGTGGGTGACGATGTCCTTGCTGGCTGTCGGTGGGTGAAAATGTCCTTGCTGACTGTCGGTGGGTGACGATGTCCTTGCTGACTGTCGGTGGGTGACAAGCCCTTGCTGACTGTCGGTGGGTGACAAGCCCTTGCTGACTGTCGGTGGGTGATGATGTCCTTGCTGACTGTTGGAGGGTGATGATGTCCTTGCTGACTGTCGGTGGGTGACAAGCCCTTGCTGACTGCTGCTTACATATAATTTTCAATGTTAAATTTTAGGCAGAACTGAATGAGAAATAAGGCTAGTGTCTGTTCACAGACTCCCTGATGCTCTCTTGAATCCTCACTGGGAATCCCTACCATGAGAGAGAGAAGGAGAGCAAAGCGGCCCTGCATGCTGCAGCCCCCACAGCCACTCTGTACTTTGGGGTTCTGGCACGGGGTGGGGTCTCTCAAAATTAACCAGAATTGCAAAGAGCTGGCAGGGCAGGCTGTGTGTCGCTGAACTACGGCTGTATTTAGTTCATAGCTGGTTGTCAGAAGAAACCATCCTTGGTCTATCTTTGCCCCTTGTGATGGCTTCCCATCGCTATAGAAATAAAACTGAGAAGCCATGTTGCTTCCAACATGAGACAGCCAGGCACTTTTTCTGGGAAGCACACGTGGTGGAAATATTTCTCATCTGGGCTTGTGAAATATTTTGATAGGTCACTTTTGTATTGAGGCTGTCTGAATAAGATTTTACCTCAGACCGTTCTAAATTAGCAAGTGTGCGACACATCTAACAAGCCCAAACAGTGTGACAATTAGCACCAATCCACAGTTCAGCACAGTCCACTGAAAAAGAAGATTTAAAGGCGTTGACCCAGCTTTGCCCTCGCTGTCCTTGTGCCCGGGTCACTTCTGCAGGTCCTGGATGGACACACCTCCTTTGTTGGTTTTCCCTGGACTCAAACTTCTCCCACCCCATCAAAAATGAAGACGCCATTCCGCGTGTCTTCATCAAGGTGGTAAATCAACTCAACTGAAATAGGAATCCAAAAAGCACTAGTCTTTAAAAATCTTTTTATCCAAGTAAAGAATGTGCAAAAGCCATCACGTTCCAAGGGTGCCTGCAGGAGAAGGCTTTGTCCCCAGCTCTGCCTGCTCCTTCACCAGGTCTGGGAACGTCTGATGGCATCCCTCCATACAATGTCCCAGTCAGCAATGAGCTCTTCCTAAGACAGCAAGACCCCTCAATACACAGAGAGCCAGGCAGGTGTTCCAAACACAGCTCTTAGCCCATGGACTTAAAAATCTGTGCTGTTTCTGGAAGGGGTTGTGCATTACATGACCTCTGTGTAGAAGGAGCCCTTAGATGACCCAGTACAACCTCCCTCCATAGCCTAAGCCTCTCCTTCATCTGAGGCAGAGTCAGGGCAGCACGACTGAACCACCCTCCCTGAGATGAACTTCACCCTGCCTTACGGATTAAATGTGATATGGATGTTGACTGCAAACATCCTGGGCATCTGCTCTGTGCAAGGCAATGCACCAGACACATGGTCTCTGCAGAGCAAGTGCAACCTCTTCCCAAAGATCACACAGCCTAACAGGTAAAAATCAAAACGCAGGATCGGAGCCCAGTCTGTAAGCGCTCGGCACTGAGCAAGCACATGTGCCCTGGGGGCCAGGGAAGCTTCATGAGAGGTGGAGCTGAACTATATCTTAACACGCAGTGAAGCAAAATTTTTTAAAAAGTCAAACAAAATTAAAATATATTTGCTAAAACTAAGCTCCAATTTTTCCTCCTCTTCGGCCCTCTGAGTATCTACTTTGTTTTTTCTGGAAGCCTTTCTCCTTCTCTGTCTGGTACATTCTCACCCATCCAGGGAACAAGCATAAATTAATAAGCCCAGGAGAAGGAAGGGGAAACAGCCAAGACTGGACAAACACATTAAGTGGAGTTCCTCAGAAGTCCAAGCCCACCTGTGTGCTGGAAGCTTCATCTGTCAACTTGACACCTGGGAAGAGGGAACCTCAATTCAGGCATTACCTCCATGGATTGGCCTGTGGTCACATCTATGCAGTATTGTCTTAATTGCTAACTGATGTGAAGGGCATTATGGGCAGTGACATCCCTGGGCAGGTGGTCCTGGGCTACATAAGAAAGCAGGCTGAGCACCGGCCAGAGGAGCAGGCCAGTGAGCAGCTCTGTGGTCTCTGCTTCAGTTCCTGCCCTGAACTCCTGCCCTAGGTGCCATCCACAGTGAACTGTGGTCAGGATGTTTAAGCCCAGTAGACCCTTCTCCCCAAACCTTTCCTTCTACTTCATCAGAGTAACAGAAAAGTAACGCTGGGTGTGGTGGCGCACACCTCTGATCCCAGTGTTTGGGAGGCAGAAGCAGGCAGATCTTTTGTGAGTTTGAGCCCAGCCTGGAGTACATAAGGAGTTCCAGGCTAGTTGGGGCTACAGGGAGACCCTGACTCTCTCTCTCTCTCCTTCTCTTCACACACACGCACACAGCCAGAACAGCCTGGAACTTCCAGATGTGATACTGTTTGGAAGCAGGGTCTTGGCAGATAGTCACAGCAGGGTGGCCTAATCCAAGGACTATGGACTTGTAAGAAGGTGGGTGAAGACGGACATACAGGGGAGAAGTCACAGGAGGATGGAGGCAAAGACAGGAGCTGAGTCTACCATCCAAGGTCCACCAAGGGTTGCCAGCAACAGCCTGTCCGTCTCATCCCTGCCAGTACCTTGCCTTGGGCTTGTGGCCTACAGAGTGAGAAGAAATTCCTGCTGTGGTGTTTGTTGTGGTTTGTGGTGATTCTTTACAGCCTCTGGGGAACACATCGAAGGTTAAT